GCACAGAGTAATTAAAAGATAGAAAATATAAAAATGATTGGTTAACAGAGATAAGAATATTAGGATGAAAATGTCCTCACCAGAGTCCCAGAGGAGAGAATCAAAGGACTAATAAAATAGGAAAAATTCTAACAAAATAGATCAATAAAAAGATGAAAGAAACAAATATCAGAAACAAACAAGGATAAATATAACTACAGATTCAGGCAAGATTTTAAAAGTAAGTAAATGCTACAAACTTTTATATTAGTATATTTGAAAACAATTTTTCTAGGAAATATAAATTACTAAAATTTACTTGAGCAAATAGAATAGACCTACAGTCTTTAAGTAAATCAAATCAGTCAAAACAGCAATAATAAAAGCATCATTGAATGAAGTTATCATTCACATAACTTCAGAGATAAGGTTTATCAAACTTTTAAATACAGGCAATTCTTATCCTACATAAACTCTTCTAGAGAACATAATGGAAAAGCTGCTCAATTCCTCATGGGGTGCTAAATCTAATGTTACCAACATCCCCTGAGGGTAATATGAGACAATTATAGCCCTGTGTCTTTTTTTGAACACAAATGCAAAAATTCTACATAAATCATTAGCAAATTGAATCTGACCATTTATTTAATTATTAAAAGTAGATATATATTCTAAATGTTATCAGTTCTCTCCAGAGTAATCATCCGTTCAGTAAAATTCTAATGAAAACCCAGAAGACTTTTTTATGGTCCTAAATTATATGTAAAAAGTAAAAGGCTAAGATTATTCAAGAAGAATAGGAGGGTATGTTTATCAGATAGCAAAGCTTAACATGTGGCAGTGTAAAATGGCATAACCACTTTGGAAAACTGAGTTATTTTAAAAATTAAACATACAGCTACTTTATGCCCTCACAGTTTTCACTCCTAGCCATTTACCAAAGAGGTGACAAGCACATCCACAAAAAGATCTATGCAAGAATGTACTTTGCAGCTTTATCCTTAATAGCCCTATGAATATGTATCTCCAGATTGCTGCATCTCCAGGGTTCATGTCCACATTCCAGGCAGGAAGATGTGGGAAGCAACAGATTTTTTCTTAATGAGGCTTTGCTTTTTCATATGGGAAAGGGATGCCTTCCCAGGCTCCATATTTATCTCATTGACCAGATTTATGTTACATGAGCCCCAGCTAGCTGCATATTTTAGTTGGACATACACTAAAGAAAGTTGAATTTGTGTTTGAAAGGAAAGAGAAGGAAAGGTAGAATGCAAGAAAGTGTCAGCTGTATCTATAATACTTTATTTTCTGAAACAAATAGATCTCAAGCACATGGCAAAGTAACAGATTTGTTCAATCTAGGTGGTAGAGACTTGAGTATATTTTATTATATCCTATATATTTGAAATATCTCATATTTTAAAAAGAAAACTAGCACAAAGTCATGAAATATAGTACTCAAAATGCGAGTATCTGTGATTCGATGCCATTCTGATCATTAAAAACCTGGGTGACAGAAGAGAATATATGTGCCCTAAGTGTGTAAATAACTAGATTTGCAAGGACAGAAGACAGGCAGAAGGCAAGACTCCACAGCTGGGAGGATAGGCTGGGCAAGATGACCTCAGAAGATGGACGTACTTGGAAATCAAGAATGTGAAGGTCAGGAAGGGGTAAAAAAACACCTTAAGCCAACTGCTGCTGCATCTGACTTTCAGCCATCTGTGTCTTGGTAAAGACTTTGATGGGAAATACCAACTCTGGCTTTTGAGAGTACCAGAGAGCTAGAAGAGGACAGAAGTCCAAGAGAGGACTCAACCTGGAGTTCTGGTGTCCAGGTTCTTGTCTTATGCCATGAGAAAAAATTCAAAGGCAAGATGAACATCAAGCAGGAAAGAGCAAGGATTATTAAAGTGAAAGTACGCACTTAAGAGCGAAGTGCAGATGAACTCAGGATGAGTTGTGCTGGAGATGTCTGGGCTTTTGTTTTCCTTGGGGGCAGGGCTGAGATGTGGTACTGATGAGACTTTGTCCTCTTCTCCCAGTAGGCAGGGAGCTCGGTTTCCTGTTCTTATTTGGTGTTTCTGGAACTGTCATGGTGCCAGGTGCATGATGGGAGCCGTAGTATTTGCAATGCATATGACATAATGATTTATAACTAGCCAAAGGTGGTATCTAAGCTGGAAAGGGCTGGTTTTGGCTTATCTCTGCATGCCAGAGCTAAAACTGGGAGGAGAGGGCTAGCTGAACAAAGGACAAAGGAAAAATTCTGGAGTTTTATCCTAGAAGCGGGGGAGGGTCCCAAGGCTGTCTTATCCTGCCTCCTGGTTTTTTGGCTAGTCTCTCCCTGCAGGAGCTAAAATAAGGAGAGGGCTGAACAAAGGACAAAGGATAAATTGTTTGGAGCCTTATCCTGGAGAGGAAGGGACATCCCTAGGCTATCTATCCTGCCTCAAAATCAGTGTCAACAAAAGCACATTTTTCATGAGTCAGTGATGTGTTTGCTACTGGGAATCCATAGTCAACACAATGCCCAATCATAAGTCTGTTATCGAAAACAATACCTGTATAATACTACATTATTCTTGTACAGTCTTTCACTCACTACCTCTGATTGCTTTTGGATTACTACAGATGTTATAGAATAAATGACTTTTCTACAGGTCTCATTTTTTAATATATCTGCTTGGTTTCATGTAAATGAAGTTAACATGTTTTCATGTTTTTCTGATTTGAAGCCTTAGGTTTTGAAGTAGAAAGTAACATACTAAGCTGTATTTATGTATCTTCCCCTTTACTGGCTATGTGCCTCTGAATACTGAACTTTTTCCTAGAAAATACTTTCTGCAGGCAGATTGATTGTCCCTGTTTAGAAAAAATGTAATCCTCGTGAAGAAATGGTTCTTTCTAAGTTTGCATTTTTTAAATTTTTTTTATTTGTTTGCTGTTTTCTTTACATTTGCAGACACTGTGGCTTCTGTCTAGACTGCTGGGTCTGGCCTTCTGTATTATTCATGTAATAGACCTTAAACACCCACTGGGCATCAGAGCTAGCTCTTTTCAAAACAGTATCTTTACCAAAGATACTGTGATCGACACTATTTTTCTTGAATTTTTATTTTGGTATTAGAGGCTGAGGAGCTTTATATTGTTTGCTTATAAATTTTCTTAAAGTTTACTGACATCAGTATTTCTTAGATAGCTTTCTTACTGTAGTTGTTATTTTTCTGAATACTTTAATGATGTCTGTTAAAGTTCTAATGTCTTTTTTAAATAGATCAGAAAAAATAAATTTCTGGTAGCATGTTAAAGAAGAAAACGTCATACGCAGTGTCTCAATGTAGAGATAGTAAAACCATTACTTATTTCCTGCTCACCAGTACTCAAAATTGCAGGTATAAAACTTTAATCTGGACATCAGTTCTGTTTTATTTGAATATTTGCCTTCTTATAATTGGGGAAAAGCCCTCTGGCTGCATTCACCCAAAGCCATGCTCTTTGGGATTTGAGAGGAGCACGTGTTGTTATAGACGCTGGGAATGGAGGACCAAATTAGTCTCTTTCGTACTTTCCTTCCCTAGTGGCATGAAAACAGAAAGCAATTTGGGGCCCATGTAGGTTTTAGAGTTGAGAGTGACTCTAGTGTGGAGAAAGGCAAGATAGACCTCTGACAATAGAATTTGCTGTAATCCAGAGCTGGATCACAGTGGGGTGGCAATGTCATCATCATATGGATTTCCACAGCAGTTACATGTAACTTGCACAGATGCATATGTAATAAGACACATGAGGCCAGAAGAGGAAGCCACAGGCCCTGCACCAGAGCCTCTCAGCCCTTTAGACCTTGAGTGTCTCCCTCTTTGAAAAGCAGTGAGTTCTGGTT